TGCGGTCCAAAGTCAGTGTTTTTGTGCAGAGATCTTAGTCGGAGTATTTGTGGTCCATGTGTCTGCTTCGCCGGTTCTTCATCATGGCCAAGACCGCCGATCCGCTTGATGATCTTCCTACTGGATTAAAACTTTTTATCAAGAATCTTCATTCCTTGACTGTGGAAAAGCTTGATGATACGAATTTTCCGTCATGGCTTTCTACAGTCTCTACAAATTTATCGGCTCATCGACTTATGGGTTCTGTTGACGGCAGTATCGTTCCTCCTCCTCCAACTGTTCGCACGGCTGATAAAGATGGGAATGTAAGCAGCGTTCCAAACCCAGAATACGAGAAGTGGTCCGTCATCGATGCCCAGTTATGTGCCTGTTTACTTGCCATCATCACGCCTTCTGTGCAAACTACTCTTCTTGGACATACTACTGCTCAGGCTATTTGGAATCAACTGCAACTACGATATAACTCTCTCTCTCTTACTCATATCTTTCAGCTTAAGGAACAATTGCATAATATTCATAAAGGCACGGATTCGATGCAAAAATACCTTGATGAAATTGCTAAAATTGTAGCCTCACTACACCGTGCTAAGTCAGAGATTTCTGATCAAGATGTCATCTTGTGCATCCTTCGTGGATTACCGCCAGACTATGGTTTTATTAAGCAAAACATTTGCACAAACATTGGCACAGTTACTCTTGCTCAGGTTACGTCTTGGTTGATTCAAGAAGAGTTAAACCTTCAAATGGAACAAAAACTGCAATTAAAAGAGTCCTCCACCACATATGTGCACACGGCCCTATATACCAACTCAAGTTTTCGTAGAGGTCGGGGAGGTCGCTTTCCATACAGAGGACGTGGTGGTCGAGGAGCAGCCACTGGCCGGTCCTTTGCTGCTCAGAACAGTGGTCGCGGCCAGTCTAGTGAGAGAGCATCTAGTCGTGGCTCGTACTCTGGTGGAAGGGGTTCTGCGTTTTGTGATTCTGTTATTTGTCAGATTTGTGGTAAATATAATCACGTGGCTTGAGATTGTTGGCATCGCTTTGACTCTGAATACGCAGGACCCAGTTCTCGCTCTCTTTAGGCATTTTATGCAAATCAATCCCCTTCACCCAATGAGAATTGGTTTCTAGATACAGGTGCTAATACCCATCACTACAAGAAAAATAGGAAATAAGGACGTTATTTAAGGACACTTTATTTAGAATGGGTCATTAAAAGTTATTTATGACACTTGTTGTGTTTTCATTTAATTACGGAGTATTCCTTCGGATCGAATCACACGATCCCAGTTTGCCATAGACAAAAAAGAGGCGCATCAGATCAGGGCTTCAATCATTCTTTCTTTGATAAAAACTTGCGAGAGAGTCGGAAGTGATAGAGAAGCCGAGTCTATTCGGAATCTTAGCCCTAGGCCTTCTGATTGAGTAGCGATGATGTACAAGAGCGCGTATGGATGTGGATGGTGAGGGTTTGCAGTGACTATGAGCAGCGACCTAAAGTCGATTTAGCAGCATATCCAGCGGCAAATTTCGAAAAAACTAGCATCTATGGCTGTTTGTAGGTATAATCTTCAATTCTAGTTTGTTCTTTCTATGATTTTTCCTTGTTTAGGTTTGATTTTGGTTTTATTGTCTATTTTAGTATGATTGCTTATGTTTTAGTTCTTCAGCAGATCTGAAATTGGCTTTTGATTATGTTGAAAGATTCATTTGATTCTATTCTGAATCTAATATGTATTATGTGTGTGGACTTTGAGCTTTCAATTTTCACTTTAATCACTGGATTTGTGTGATTATTTTGTAAATTCTGTGAAAGGATTGTAAGTACATTTGGTTAACACTTGATATGCCCCAGTAGCTGATTAATCTTGTTAGAGTATATATGCTGTTGAATAAGTTATATTGAAATGTATAATGTTTTTATAGCATAAAATTTTTGCAATACTGATTTTTTCATTTATCTGCTAGGTTTTGCAATATCAATAAGGGTCTCGAGCTTGATTGTCATCGGGTTGTGTTTGATGATATTCAGTCCCTCACTCAAGTGAGTTTCACATTGGTCTTTTTTTAGAAGATCAGAAAGCTCTGTGCAATTGTATTATGAGCTCATTGATAAGAGTCAGAATGGACCATTAAGACAAAAAAATTACAAGCTAGAGTATGGTGTAATGCAGATGCCTGATGAATCAATTATTTTGTAGGTTTCAACAAGGAATTCAAATATCTTACTTCTTTCAATGTACATACCAACACCTAATCTTGAACTCAATTCTTTGGAGGACTTCCACTTGGAGCAGTAGAAGCCATGATAGGTAAGATTGCACCTTGATCCAGTAAAATGAAAAGAGCAAAGTAGAAAAGTAGTCCAGACTCTAGAGAGTTCTCGAGAACTTCAAGAGTAAATCTCAAATGCTTTCTATTTACATACTGATCAATATTCTAATGAAATTATATCCCACTTCCATGCACTTACATAAGAGCAATGGCGATATTTATCTGTTTTTATCTATTTAAATATGCTCAAGAATGTTTATGGTATTGCTGGAACTTAAAAAATAGTAGGATTCTGCCTCAAATTGCCTAAAAAAGAAGAGGAAACCCAATCAAGACCTACAGTTCATAGCTTCTTCAACGGTAGAAGGGTGGGAGGTGACCGTAAAGTTAGGGAGGTTGTTTTTAAGGCAATAAAAAAAGAATTTAAAGAAATCTTAAGTAACTGCAAACTGCTAATGGTTAAGAGGGGCTGCATTTAGTTTATATGTTATAATCTTTATGGAAGCTAAGGAGCTTTGTGTATTTTATTGTGATAACAACATTGCATTGAGGTCCGGCTCTCTTTTTTGGAAGGCTTTGTATTTGGCTATTTTTTAAATGTATGCTTTGAAGGTCCTCTTCCAAGCTATATCCTGAAGTTAAGAGAGGAGCACAACATTGTGCAAATTGAGGATTCCGACAAGTGTATTTCAGTTGTTGCTGCCTTTGGGAGTTTCATTGTCACATTTGGAATGTAGAGCTAACAGTTCTAGCTCCTGACTCTATCTTTGATAATTGATTCTTATGGTAATAATTTTTGCTTTAGATTGAATTAAACCTCAGCTCGTCTTCATTCGTCACGTACAGTTTACGGATCAAAATATGCTGATGTTGATGATGTGAGAATTTTTCTGGGATTTATTTTGTTCTTGTTATAGAAACATATAAATGGCTATTATAAGAGATCTGTAATAATATTTTAATTTATGTTTGAAGAATGATGACACAGTGAGCATATGGAATTTAAAAGAGTGTTGTGCAGCTGCTCTAGATGCTCTTTCAAATGTCTTTGGTGATGGGATACTTTCTAGTCTCGTGCCCATTGTTCAAGTTATGTCTATTTCTGACTAAATATGAAGCTCCCTTACCCACCCTATCCTATAATTGAATATATGACTTGCGCACAGGTTTATTTTGGTATTTTACTTAAATCATTTTGGATGGTAGGGAATCGATGCGAACAATTGGCTACTATCTCTAGTAGAGATGCTTACCAATGGTGTTTAGGAGTCCAAAGCCCCCATACAGTCAAGCTTTATGGCATCACGGACATCAATTTTTCTTTTGTATCTCGTTGTATCTCTTGGATTTGTGTAAAATCTTTGAACTAAATTGGCACTTTAGTCAACTTTGTAAAATTAGAACTATTGTACTATATTTGTTGATTATATATAATGACAATTAAAATGATGATATGAAGGCTTATTATTTCTTAGAACATAATGTTTGTGTTCTAGTAACAAATAGAGGACATGAATTTGAAAGTATCAATATGTCATCTTATTGATTTAAGACTATTCTAATAGCATTTTTAGGACACACAAATAGTGTCCTAATATAAAAAAGAGGACACATGTTGGATAATATGACGATACATTTTAGGTGTCTTGTTATTGATATTAGGACACACCTTTTGAAGAAATTTTGTGTCCTTGTAAAGAAAAGAGGACACATTTTATGTGTCCTTATTTTATACTTACTATGACTCCTGGATAGAGGACGCATTGGTTAAGTGTCCTAGTATATAATAGATGACTTTTCTTCGTGTCCTTGTTTCCCTGTTTTCTTGTAGTGCATGTTACTCCAGATTTGTCTCGTCTCTACTCATACTCTCCATACTCTGGTACTGAGAATGTCAGTGCAGGTGGTCACTCACTTCCTATTGCTCATGTTGGCTCGGGTAAAATTCCTACATCCTCTGGTATATTTCACCTTGGTAACCTTCTCCATGTCCCATCCCTGAAATCTCACCTTCTTTCTGTTTCTCATTTTACCAAAGATAATAATTGCACTCTTCTCTTTAATCCCACTGAATTTCAAATTTTTGGACAACTCCACTCATCGGGTGAGGTACAAAGGCCGCTGTGAGCAAGGACTTTATATGTTGCCATCCAATTATCAACAGTCACCGTCCTTTGAGTCGTTTCCCTTCGTCCGGTCTGCGGTTGTTACAGCTCAAGACTGGCATCGGCGGTTGGGACATCCCTCGTTAGTAGTTACAAATAATTTACTCTCCTTTTTAGGACTTTCTCGATTATCAAATGTACCTTCTTGTGACTCTTGTTCTGTATCTAAGTCTCACAAGTTACCTTTTTCTCTGTCATGTACCACTGCTACTTATCCTTTTCAACTAATTCATTCTGATGTTTTAGGGCCTACCTTTGTTCCCTCTTTTGGTGGTTATCACTACTATATTTCCTTTATTGATGATTTTACCAAATTCTCTTGGATTTACCCCTTGAAACAAAAGTCTGAAGCTTTTGGGGCTTTTCAAAGTTTTCAATTCATGGTTCAAAATCAATTTGGTACCACCATTAAACTTTTTCGCACGGATAATGGAAAAGAATATCTAAGCAACCAGTTTGCTCTTTTTCTTCAACGTCTTGGTATTCTTCACCAAAAAACGTGTCAATACACGCCTGAACAGAATGGTGTTGCAGAACGGAAACACCGTCATCTCATTGAAACAGTGGTCACCCTTCTTCATACGTCTCATCTTCCTGTTATTTTTTGGGTTGAAGCTCTTGCTGTTGCTAATTTTCTCATTAATCGGCTTCCTACAAAAATTTTAAACAACCACTCGCCATTTGAAAAGTTATATAATCAAACCCCTGACTATTCTTTCTTACGTGTGTTTGGTTGTCTCGTTTACCCACATTTGCGACATGTTGTTGATCACAAACTCCAACCCCGTTCTAAACCATGCGTCTTTATTGGCTACGAACCCTTGACAAAAGGGCATCGTTGCTTTGACCCAACTACTTCTAAGGTCTATGTCACTCGTCATGCAAAGTTCAATGAGTCTGAGTTTCCTTACCAAAGACTTTGTTCCTCTCCCACCTCTAGTTCTACTATGTCTAATTCCTATTTTGGAGTTCTTCCTCTTTTTCAACCTTCTTTTAGGTCACAAAGTCCTGCTCACATGCCTCAACTCACTCCATCCTCTGTTAGAATAAGTGACCAACGCTAGAGGGGGGGTGAATAGGGTTTGATCGTAGAAATCGCAGGAATAAAAAATTAAGAACGTGAAAGGTAAAGAGCGTAGAAAGCGTAAAGGGAGCACACCAAGATTTATATTGGTTCACCACAACGTATGGCTAATCCAGTCTCCCGAGAGACTCTCTCGAGCTGCACTACTTCCGTTAAGCTTACGGGTGCTTAACAAACTGTTACAACCTGAGAACTCGAGTCCCACGAGCCTCAACAACACTTGCTCGGAGATACTGCACTCCAAGACTTCAACCCAAAGGAAAAACACCTTTCCTTCGTACAACCAAGGGAAACAAGCTTCCCTTAACGTGTATACAACACTAAACACTCAAGAACAAGACTCTCTTTAAGAGTAGATGATGAGTAAACTAAGTACGCTCAAGAATAACTCAAACTTCACACAAATTGGCTCTAGAAAGCTATGGAAAATGATGTTGTTTGAATGCAATGATAATATGAATAATGTGAAGTGAATTGGTGAGAAAAGCAGACCAAAACACCCCTTTTTATAGTGCAAAAATAGGCTCTAACGGACCAATATATTAAAGGGGTGATTGGCTTGATTTATGGGATTGAATAAATTTGGGATGTGCAGGATATTGGCTTCCCATCGATGTTTAGACTCAACCATCGCTGGTAAGCCAATTTTCCTTCAGTTTTGAAGCCAACGGTCACCTACCCATCGATGGTTACAAGCTTCCCATCGCTGGGTGAGAGGTTGACTTCCAAACAAGGAAAGAAACAACCTTAAATGACTTCCAACGGTCATGCCTTCCCATCGATGGTTTAGCCTTACCATCGCTGGGTTCCCATCGATGGGATAAGTTCCCCATCGCTGGGTAAGGTCGTTCTGCCTTGTGATTATATTGGTCCAAGGCTTGAACAGCGATGGGTAGAACTTCCCATCGCTGTTTGGCGTGGTTCTGGAAATCAGTTGGGATGAAGGCTGCTTACCCATCGCTGGGTAATATCTCCCATCGCTGGGTGGAATGATTCTGGAATCCCGGGATCACTTACCCATGGATGGGTGATATCTACCATCGCTAGGTAGATGGCTAGCCCAGAACCATGGCCTAGCTGACCGGCGCTGAAACCCAACCGAAAAATGCAAAGTTCTCCAAAGTAAAAACTAAGTATTTAAAACACTTATTTAATGTATTTTGATCTCAAAACAAGCTTTGTAAGTTGAAAACCATGTCGTTAAGGTAAAAACCACGGTTGACCAAGTCAATTCCGTACACGGGTGGTTTTTACCAAAAGACAAAACCGAAAGGTGGTTTTCATGATGTTTTGATTGGAGAACCATTTAAATGCATTCAAAGACAATTCCCACACAAAAAGACTCGAAAACCACTTCATTTAAGCAAAAACCGTGGCTAGCCAAGTTTATGCATTTTCGCATGGTTTTTATCAAACGACAAAAAACGAAAGGTGGTTTTTGAAGTGTTTTTGATGGAAAACTATTTAAATGTGCCCAAAAGTAAAAACCAATCATAAAAAGTTGAAAACCACTTGGTTGGTTCGGATGCCAAAAACAAACGCCGATAACCGAATGCCGTGTTAGAATAAAAGACCAACGCTAGAGGGGGGGTGAATAGCGTTTGATCGTAGAAATCGCAGGAATTAAAAATTTAAAAGAGAAGTAAAGAGAAGAGTAAGAGGCACACCGAATTTTACCCTGGTTCACCACAACTTGTGGCTAATCCAGCCTCCCGAGAGACTCTCTCGAGCTACACTACTAACTCGTTAAGCTTACGGGTGCTTAACAAACCGTTACAACTTGAGAGTTCGAGTCACACGAACCTCAACGAATCCTTCAAAGGAAACAGACCTTCCTTTGAATCAACCGAGAGAGATGCTATCTCTCAACGTGTCTAAGAACACAAGTACACTCAAGAACGAGACTCTCTTATAGAGTAGATTATGAGTAAACTAAGTACGCTCAAGAACAACTCAACCTTCACACAAGTGGCTCTA